GAGATATAGATTTCAAAACTTAGTTCTCTTCAGGCGTAAAAGCTGGCTGGACTTTCACTGTAAATCCCAGACTAAGTAAGTTCTCAGACCCATGATCCATGGTCACGGTCCTCCCGTTGTTCATCGATTTGCTCGAGAGAACCCAGTAACGTCTCCATCGTGAGACTTGTTGTTACTGTGTTTGGCATATCGAATACGTCACGGGGAGCTTGCCAGGCTCTGCTGAGCGGGCGAGATACTCTCGGTAGCTTGCCGGGCTCTCTGAGAGGGGCGGAGGAATCGAACTCGGGTCGGCCATGTTGGCTGCGTGCAAGGCAAACGCCCTACCGCTGTGCTATCACTCCAGCCCACTCAGACCCATGGGGTCCTTTCCTTTAAGCCATTGTGGCTTTTATCACTGTTCCTTTTCAAAACTAGGGTGGTTTTGCTACTTGCCCGGGGTCCATCCAGAGATCCCTCAGTGGGACCCAGCTCCTGGGAGCATTAGGAATTACAGCGACTGAAGCCTGAGTCAAGGAATTATGACAGATGCCCAGGAGTAGATATATTTCAGAGACAATCAACTCCCAAATGTTAGGAGCATAGCAATAATGGTCTTTCTATGCTTAAACAAAGAATATTGTTCTATAGTAAAATATGAAAAGGTTATAGGGGAAAGAGAAAAGCAAGTAATTCCCTACAAATAAAAAAATTCCAGAGTCACCAGAAAGTTTGACTATTTTATAAGTAACCAAGCCTGACTTGGGGGATCTAATAGCTAACAGAAGGCAAGGTAAAACACAAAGGAAAGGTTAAAGATAAACTCGGGGGTTTAGGGGTGCTCGTAAGAGCACTGTAAGCTTCTGGGGGGGGGGAGGAAAAGGGGGCAATTCACTGATGAAGCCTACAACACTTAGGGCTAATATGCAACAATTTTTGGGGTATCCAAATGTGGTTTCTTTTCTTCTCCTGCCTTGTAGCTTAGCAGTGCACTGCAGCCGCAGCCGGAATTGAGCTGAACTCTCCTCTCAGAGAACTGAAAGTTCTAGAAGCAGAGAGGAAAGCAAGTCTTCTGCACATCACCCGGAGCTCAGTGACCAGTCGCTACGGGGAACTGTCCAGCCCAGGTAGGAGCTGCCTCCTGAGGAAAAATATTTGCGTGAGAGAGTTTTGTCTAATTATTTTTATTTTTTATTTGGGGCTGGGGGGGTGGGGCATGGGGGACGGGGCCTATCCTTGCATCTGAGCTCAGGAGTGACCCCTGGTGGTGCTTGGGGGAACCGCATGCATGTGAAGAATCAAACTTCAGGAATGGTCTTCGGGCTTGGGGAGGGGACGATAAAGAATGGTAGGGCCCCCAAACCGAAAAGATAAATGAATAAATAAGTAATTTTTTAAAATAAAGTAACAAAGGATGGTAGGGATTCCAGCGTCCCCATCTCTCCCCTCCCTCTGGCCAAGGCCTGGACTAACGGAAGGGAGGTGAGAGCATCTTCAAGGCCTGCCCTATCTAATCAAGAACGCACAGAGTTGGAGTTTCTCTCCTCTTCCGGCCAACAGGGAGGGGAGTGCTCGAGGGGCAGCGTGGAAAATGACGTGGAGCCAGCCTCCCCGGAGCGAGAGTCAGTGCTGATTGCCCCGTTGTTCAAACCCTGTCCTGGTGCTCCGGCGCTATGAAGGGACGGCCTCTCTGGAAATGCAAGCCCAGTATCCTGGAGAGACGCCGCGGGGTCCAGCCTCGCTGTGGTGAGCGGAGCAGGAGGAAGCTGCTGCTTGGAGCTGAAAGGAGAAGGATCTTGATCATGCATCGCCCGGACCCACCTCTGGAGAACGGCCTTGACCTGGGAGAGCCCGACCAGGAGCGCCATGCCCAGGGACGCTGGTTGGAAATGCGGAGGCCCTTTGCAACTGCCCGGCAAAGTCTGGCAGAAAGAGGTAAACTCAAGTGGGTCACTTGCAAAGAAAAACGGAAGGTAATAGTCAGAAAATGTACGAATGGACCGACTTGGGATGGCAAAGGGCAGGAAACGCATTAGGGAGGGGCCGGAGCGATACGACAGTGGGGAGGGCGGTTGACTTTCTCGTGGGCACCCAGGTTTGGTCCCCATCACCCTATAAGGTCCCTGAGCACTGCCAGGAGTAATCTCTGAGCCCAGTGTGGACCAAACAGAAGAAAGAAACCAAGAAGTGGGGAGCCTTCAGTGTCAGAGACACAGGAAGATGCGGGTGCGTTGGGGACATCTAACTTCCCCGTCAGCTCCCAGCCAATGGGCACGTAGGGAGCCGTGAGAGTGACCGAGGGAGACGAAGAAAGGAAGTGGGTTTGGGGGCAGTGCCCAGCGAAAAAGGTTCAGGTGCCCCGGCCAATAAAACTGACTAGAAAGAAACAAGAGTGAGGCCTGGTTGCAACTCAGAGGGCCTTCCATTGTCCTGCCCCGACCCCTGCTTTCTCTGTATGTGTATTTAACCCTCACTCCATCCCGACACATCTTGCCCCGAGTACCACCAGGAGGGATCCCTAAGCACAGAGATAGGAGTAAGCCCTGAGCACAGCGAGACGGGGTCTAAAACCAAAACCAAAGCCAAACAAACAGCTGTGTCCAAATGGGCCTGGAAAAACCTTCTAGAACCCTGAGAAGAGATGGACACAGTGTTTCTCCAGAAAGTTGATTCAGGGCCTAAACCCCCTCCTCTGACTGGGGGTGGGGGGAGAAGGCGAGGTCTTCCCAGCGTCCAGGCACCCCCAAATGACCATGGTCCAACAGGCAGTTTGAGTCTTTAACCCCAAGGGATATTTTCTGCTATGGCCATGGGGGTCCTTTTGCGACAGGGGCCACCTCACACCTGGGGCGTCAGACTCGCTCCTCCAGCTCTGCCTTGTCAGAGTCCTTCTGGGCCCAGACATGTCTCTGGCTCTCTTTTGCCAGTGCCACCATCTAGGACACCCGGCTAATTCTGTCCCTTCAAGGAGTTGTGCAGGGGGGCGCCCTGCCCCCACGAGACAACCCCTTCTATCCTGCGCCCCCCACACCCCAACCCGGGGAGAAAGGCCGGGGCCCAGCAGGCCGCAACAAACAAATGGAGGCCGTGAGGTCGGGCCCAGGCTCCTGTCTCCAAATCACGTATCCCCTGCATGATGTCACACAGCTAATTCACCCGCACTGGGCTGCGGGGGCCTCCCGTGAGAGAGGAGCACGTGAGCAGCATGTAGCTGAGGGCTGCTGTGGGCTGAAGTGTGGCTGAATTCCACGGCCCAGGAGCCGGGGTTAAGTTCCCTTTTCTCGGCGGGCAGGGATGGGAGGGGGAATCTGGGCCAGGCCCGGTGGTGCTCAGGGGCTCCTCTCGGCTTAGGGCTCAGGGGAGCAGCTCGGGCCTGGGCGTGCATGCATGCCTGAGTGTGCACTCCCGCCCTGAGTTATCGAGTTTCCTTTGATGTCGCTGGGCCTGTTTATAAAGCAGGCTCTTGGAGCAGGCCACCGTCCCTGGGGGGGGGGGGGGGGGGGGGGGGGGCTGCGGCTTAAATGGCCACCTCAGATCCCACATCCCAATTCAGGCCACAGGAGGACATGGCTGAGGGCAAGCAGGCTGGCCGGGATCTGGCCGGGATCTCGCCGGGCCTCCGTCTCCTCCTCTGGTTTGCACCCTCTTTGTGGTGGTGATCACATGGGGTGGATAGGGCCCTCTGAAACCACCCCGTGTGGGGGGGGCGTGGGGCTGGCTGCCTCTCCTGCCGCTGGCATTAGTACCCTGGGGCAGCTGAGCCGTCCTGGATCTGGTGTAGGAGTTTCTCTTCTCTTCTTTTATTTTTTCGAGGGAGGGGGGATTGGTGGAGGGCGGTCACACCTGGTGATGCTCAGGGGTTACTCCTGGTGGTGCTCAAGGGACCATATGGGATGCCGGGGATTGAACCCGGATCTAGGCCAGCCATGTGCAAGGCCAACACCCTCCCTGCTTCACTATTGCTTCTGCCCCAGGTTTCTAGTCCTTGGATTTCACCTCCTCTGTTCCAAAAGTCCAGCCAGGTGAGGGAGAGGGAGAGGAGTGGTGCAGGGTGGCCTGAGTTAGTGTGTGGCCCCAAACCCAAAGCCAGGTGTGAAGCCCCCTGAGCCCCCTTTCCTGTAGGGTTCATGACCTCTCAGCTCTCTAAACTGAGCTTGCAGTTTAGTTGTAGATTCTCCTCTCTGGACTCAGGCTTTGGAGGGCAGGCTGGGGTCACCCACCCACCCCCACCAGGAGGCCCCAACCACGTGGTCACACAATCACCCAAGAGAAGGACAGGTCAGGATGGCGGGGAAGGGATGGCCTATCGGTCTGTGTCTCGCAGACACAGGGCTGTTTCTCTTTATGTACAAAACCTCACTGTTGGGGACCCCTAGAGGCCCCATTTTCTGCCATGAAAACCGAGGTTTGGACTGGAGTAATAGTACTGCGGGGGGGTAGGGCGCACAGCTGACCCGGATTCCATCCCCATCCCTGGCTCCCCAGATAGATGGTCCCCTGAGCCCGGCCAGGGTTGATTTCAGAGCACAGAGCCAGGAGTCAGCCCTGAGCACCGCTAAGTGCCGCCTGAAAACCCAAGTTTGGTGCTACTAAGTGGAAACCCCAAATCTGTCATTCGCAGAGTGGCCTGAGCGGGGGAGTTTGCGGAGCCCACACGGGAATGTGCCCGGGGCTCCGGGAGTTGGAGGGGGGGCGGGGGTTTGGGGCTGGGCCGCGGTGAGAAGAAACAATAGCGGGTCTGGGGGTAGGGGGGTGGGTGGGATGCGGGTGAGGGGACCCAACCTCCGTCCCCGCCCCCCCCCCCCCCTCGGCCGCGCTGGCGCTGCGGGACGCGCTGGCGCTGGGGCGCGCGGCACAAAGGGGCCGGCCGGGCCGCGGCAGTTTTGAAAACCCCGAGGAAGTTGATCTGGGCCGGGGCCCAGGCGGTGACGAGGAGGAAGGGAGGGATCGGGAGGGACGGGGGAGGGAGGGAGGGAGAGAGGGAGGGAGGGGGGAGGCCGCGGGCCCAGGGGCGGCCCAGACCGGGGCGGCCTCCAGCGGGAAGCGCGCGCGCGGCGGGATGGGCTGCGGGGCGCCCCGAGCCTGCGAGCCCCCCGACAGCCCCCTGGGCGCGCCGGCCCGCGCTCCCCGACAGCTCCCACGGGCGGCGCGGAGCTAGGCGGCCTTGGGTGCGCACCCACGGGCCTCCCCCCGACACTGCCCCGGCGCCCCACAGCCGCTGCCGCCCGAGGCCCGGGCAGAAGGGACCATGAAAGGTAACCCGCGCCCCCATCCACGCACCCGACTCGCTCCCAGGCGACCCTCCTCCCGCACCCCAACCCCGCTCCCCCCAACCCCAGTGCCCGGAGGAGGCCGGTTCGGGCTTTTCCCGCAGAAGGGCTGAGTTGGGGCTCCTAGGGAAGGGGGTGGGAGGGCAGGAGGGACCCCGGCAAGTGGAGAAGAACCATGCAAGTTGCAAGCCGGCGACCCCCCACCCCTTCCCCTCTGTCCAGTTCTGAGAGTGGCGGATGCTCCCCGAGCCCCTCCAAATGCTTTCAACCCGGGAGAATGAAACCTGCCTTCACTCACCTCCCTCCCCGCCCCCTCCAGGGTGTGTGTGTGGGGGGGGGGGAACCTCTCTGCGGTCCCTGCCCCCAATCAGCCTTCTGCTGGGGTTCTCACCCAGAAACGTGGGGCTCCCTCCTGTGTCCAGCCCCCCAGCCCTGCCCTCAGTCCTTGAAAAGGAGCCTGACCCGGCCCTGAGGTCGGCTCCCCTGTCCTACTCTCACCCCCCAAACTAGAGCACGAGGGTTCCGGCTTGCATCCCGGGTCCGGGCTCGGCAGACTTGGGGCCACCCAAGAGGGCTGATGCTGTTTTGGGTTGTTTGTCCTGTTTTGCTTTGGTTTTGGGTCCCACCGGGTGATGCTCTAGGCTGACTCCTGGTTCTGCACTCAGAAATCATTCCTGGCAGTGCTCTGGGGGCCCTAGGGGATGGGGGGGGGTGGAACCCCAGTCAGCCATGTGCAAGGCAAACACCCTCCCCTCTGTACTGTGGCTCCAGGTCCAAGGCCTGATGTTATTTTGGTTTGGGGACCAGGAGGCCCTGGGACAGAATCTGGTCTCCTGCTTGCAGATCACAGGATGAGCCCAGCCACCCTCTGCCAGGCCCACCTTTGAGGTTTTGAAATGCCAGCCCTGGTGCCTTTCAGTGACCCCACAGCACCCGGGCAGCAGCAGGGGGTCTGCCTCAGCCCCTCACCCTGAGACCCTCATATCTTGATTCCTTACCTGATGCAGAAATGGAAAAGAACCTTGGAGCTCCTCTGCCGACCCTCAGCGGCAACGTGGGTCACTCTTACATGGCACCGTCCGAGGGTCCCTGTGTCGGGAAAGACTCTGCGGACTGACCGCTGGTGGGACCTCACTTGAGGAGGGAAACTGAGGCCCGGGCAAATGTGGCCAGCTTCAGGGCTGAGTTAATGGGTTTGGGCTGCTGTCCTGAACTCATGCCAGGTTCCCTGGGATTCCACACATGTGTCCCTGTGTCCAGGTGACAGAGGTGGGTGCTGAAGAATCTCCCCTGCAAAAAGGGTCCTAGCTCACACACCCCACATCTGCGGCTTCCTGCCTGAGCCCAGCCCCTCTGCTTCCTACTGGCCTCCCCACCTCCAGCACGTGAGCTGGGTGACACGGTGCAAGTGAGTTTGGATGGACCGCAGGAAGTTCTCTGGGTTACAGGGAGGGAGACCTCCCCACCCAGGGCTCCTGCTGTAGACATTGTGTGTAAAGGGGTGGCGGTCTCCTGGCAGTAGAGAGGGGAACGGTGCATGCTGTGATAATGGGACCACGCCACTGTTTGCAGCCCTGCCCAAACAGCCCGCGGAAATCAGAACAAATAGAGACGGGACCACCCTAAAGAGGTGATGGAGGGATGCGTGTGCGGCCCGTGGGAACCCGGCCACGACTCTTCATGTAGAGGCCACAGGCGGGGTGAGACCCAAGTTCAGCTCCTTCCCCCGGGGTTCATCACAGGAACCCTGTGATTTGAGGTTCCGAGAAGCTGCTGAGGAAGCAGAGGGGGCTTGTCTTGGGGTCTTAGCCACTCCCTTCCCGTCATTTCTTGTTCCTAAGCTGCATCTCCCCAAGGGCAGAGTATGGGGGCCTCCTGCCTCCCTTGGAGCTTCAGAGGTGAAGAGCTGGGGGGCAGGAACATCTCGGCATCCTGCTGCCAGGAAGGCAGACAGCCAGGCTCTCCACAGCTCCCTGAGCTAGTGTGGAGGGAGAAACGGGCTTGTTTGTACCCACACGGAAAAGCAAACCCATCCCCTGACCGCCACCCCCGCCCCTCCTCGAGAATGACATCGTTTGGCAAAGGTTGGTCCTCGCCAAAACATGCTCAGCAAAACACGGGTGAGGTGATGTTTGGGTTGGGGCTTGGGGGGACATTTAAACCAGAAAACACGTGTGCTCGGAGCCCGGCCACCTCCAGGGGCAGGTGCCAGCCCGCCCAGCCTGCCCGCCCAGCCGCTGCCACCCAGGCCCTCTGCCTGCCTGCCAGCCGGCCAACCTCCCAGATGGCTGCGTCTCAGGTACCAGCTGGCACCTGGCCCCAGGTGCTGCCCCTGGCTCAGCCGAGAGGCACGGCTGCCACCAAATCCTGCGAGGGCCACCTCAGAGCTGCCCTGCATCCCACTGGGTCATTCAGATGAGAGGCTTGTGGGCCAGGCGAGGCCCCAAGGAGTGAGCTCTGTGTGTGGGAGGTCTGGGTTCAAGCCCCCACCCCCCATGGTCTCCCACGTTCCACCCAGAATAACTCCAGCATAGTTAAAGGTAGCCGACTCCCCAACAAAAGATGAGAAGGAATCCCCCTGCGGGGGTGACTGAAGACGTGGCTACTCAGGGCTCTCCCGCATCTCCCATCTAACTGCTCCCCTCCCTCTCCTCCTGGGTGGTCCCTGGTGCCCCCAGGCAGTGACTCAACCCAGCGCTGGCCTGAGTGGCACTTGGGGAGCGGAAATGACTGCAGGCGAGGTGACTGGATGTCGCTACTGCCTGAGCCCCTCTCGGTCCCCCGGGGAACTGGCCCTCAGCTGCCAGGGACAGGCAGAGCCACACCCTGGGGCCCAGTGAGGGGGGGACTCTCCGTGGCATCAGAGTGGCAGCGGGCAGAGAGGGCGGGCACAGGGAGTGGCCACAGCAGGGAGGCCCCGGGGAAGCCCGCCCTGCAGTGGAGACTCACTCGGGAGGGGGCAGACCTGGTCCCTCAAGGCCTGGCCTGCTCCTGGGAAATTCGGGGTGCTGGAAGGAGCCAGAAGCTAGCAGAGTGGCTGCTGATGTGGCAAATTCACCAAGGACCGGCAAACAGCTGGTTTAGGAGGTTCTGGGGCTCAGATGTCAGAGTTGCTCGGGACCCTCAGACATAACCATGCACCCACCCACACACGAGCACACACGTGCCCACACATGCACATGTGTGCACCCACCCACACGTATACCCCCCCAACACCCCCCCCACGTGCCCAAGTACCCACATGCGCACCCACGCACCCACGCACGTGCACCCACCCACACACCCATGTGCCCACACACCCACACATGCACCCACTCACACATGCAGGCACCCACAGATGTGCGCACACACCCATGCACGCACATGCACACATAACCACGTGCCCATGGACTCACGCACATGCCCATGTACACACGTACCCATGCACACACACTTGCACAAGTGCATGCCATGATTTCCTTGCCTTCTGGCCAGGGTCATGATTATTACTTTTTTAAATTTGGGGGCCACCCTTGTTGGTGTCCAGGAGCTACCTCCGAGTGGGGGGAGTCACTCCCAGTGGTGCTTGCCACTGTGTGGTGTGGGGAAGTGAACCAGGGCCTCCTGCACGCAGACTGCACTGGCCAAGGAACTAGCTGCCTAGCCCAGGCGGGGCTCATTCCAGGAACTGAAGACCCACACCCCAAAGTTATCTTGATGGAAAGGAACGGCCGGCTGGCCCCCAGTTATGAAAATGGAAGCCCCTCGGTACAGCAAAGGAATGGCCGTCCCCTCGGTTGTGGAGGCCAGTTTGGCAGCTTTTGTCCAGAGTGAGCTGTGCTGGGCACTGGCCTCGCACCTCATTCATCCACTTGCCCCTCCCTCATCATGCTTAATTTTGGAAATGTGTGTGTGCATGCGTGTGCCTGTGTGTTTGATCTATTTATGCGTGGGAGTGCGTGTTGTGCGTTCTGGAGCTGAAGGGTCCAGCCTCGCTCTGTCTCTCCAGATCTCTGTCCTCACAGTTGCTTTGGTGAGAGTGTCCTGGCTGTGAAGTCCCTCGGGCTTCTGTGCCGGTAGACCAGTTGATTGTGGCGGCTCTTGGCCGCTGTAACCTTGTACTGTCTTGTAGATGGTCCATATTTTCCTTGTTTTATTTTTTTGTTTGGTTTGCATTCACCTAACACTCCTCAAGAGGCTTGGGGGACGGTAAGAAGTGCCGGAGATTAGTCCTGGGTCACTCTCATGCAAGGCCAGCTCTCTGTCCACTGTCCTGTTGCTCGGGCCCCTCCATGTTTGCTCTAGACCTGCCAATGCATCTGCACTTCAGTGTACATGTCTTCCGCATAAGTGCAGCTAGGAAGCAAGCACGAGTTGATCTTCCTTTTTCCATTTTGTTTTGGAGTCACACCGGGCGCTGCTTGGGGCTTCTTCCTGGCTCTGCACTCAGGAGTGACTCCTGGTCATGCTTGAGGAGACCCTATAGGGTGCCAGGGTGGCCGAGTAGAAGGCAAGAGCCCTCCCCCCTGTACTATCTCTCCTACCTAATACAGAAGTTTATTAGAACTTCCACACGGAGACCTTCACATACCCCTTAGTACAGATTTGTATTATTTTTTAAGGGTTTTGTAATACTCTGTAGCCTGACTTTGTAACAACTTATTGTTATTATTTGGAGAGAGACTTGGGGACCACACTGATGTGCTTGGGGTTTAGTCCTGACTCTGCACACCAGGGTCCCTCTCGGGGATGCTCAGGGGACCTTTTGTGATGAATCAAACTGGGCTCGGCGGCATGTAAGGCAAGTGCTTCCCCCCCACCCCCCGCCCCGTGCTTCGTTTCTGGACTATTTTGCTTCCCCTCCGTGCTGGGAAACCCAGAGCTCGGGCCCAGCTGTTTGTCCTGGAGTGGAATGACATGGCACGGCCTCCTTGCCTCCTTGTCTGGGTCTCCCCTTGGAAGAAAATTCCTCGAAGGGGGATTGCTGAGTCAAAGACACGCTCCTT